TAGGTGTCTATTTACTTGTGACCACTCAGTGTATATATATAATAGTACTGTCTGTCGCCTGTAACTACTTCGCAGGGTGTGAATGGGTCTTCACCAAAATTGATATGGAGATTCATTAGCTACATTTTGTAGCTGGATTTTTCCAAGATACGAAGATTTTTCCAAGATCTTCTTCAAATTTGGCATGAAGCTTTGTTGGGTCCATGTGGAGATACATACAAATTTGCGGGGGTTAATAATTTCTGTTTTGCAATTTTCATGGGCGTTTTTTTTTTATGATTACCTATAAGGGAAGCAACTTTTCACGTCCTAGGATAACCTATCATTTATCATGGATTTACGTCCAGGGGACTGGTACTCCAGTTAGTATGTATATATTATTTTATGCGCTTGGTTTTCATTATTAAGCTCAAAGCCGTCCTTCTGAGCACCCATACAGTAGAGGTGAGTTTTTTATGATAAGAATACTCACTTTATTCTCACCTCCACTTAAATGAGTTGTAACAAATCTTGTGAAACATTTTAATACCTGGAAAAGCTGTTGGTTTGGAGATTATTGATCTACAGCTTTCTAACGATGTTCTCACGCTTCAAGTTACCGAGCTTGATCCGTAGGCCAGATGAGAACTGGTTAATTTAAAAATCTTTCAGCAAAAAGACTGGACTTGTTCTATGCAATGAAATAATTTGAGTTTGTTGAAAAATCGTGACATTGTCTTTTTTTTTCTTTGTCTAACAGTAATATGTAATAGATATGTCATGGGCTGGTTGTTTTTAACAAAGCTACGTAATGGGCTATCTGTGCTCTGCCCATCATGATTAGTGAAACCCGATTTTCAGCGTTGTAAGTCTGCAGACGTACCGTTGAGCCACCGAGGGGAAATGTCATTCGATCGCTTTACGGTGATATTGTAAATTAAGACAAACTAACAATTGTAGTGTTTTCTTGTGGTATTTTTGTAAACAATAAAGAACCGGAGCTCACAATTATAGCATTTTTCGTATCTTAGAAAAATCCAGCTACGAAATGTAGGGAGCGCTGTAAAAGCACCCAGTGCAAAAATCGGGACGGTTAGCACAAATAGCCCTCGTGTAAATTTGCACAAAATTAAAAAAAACAACGAATTATAACGTTAAAAACCGAGTTTCGATATCCATGATGGACACAACACAAATAGCTTAGTGCTTAACTACAAACAAACAAAGACTGATTGTCTTAGCTCAAGTCCATCAGTCAAAAATTCGAGACGGATTTGTACAGATAGCCCTTGTGTAATTCTGAATCAGAGATATTATGACGTTTTGTTTCGTATTCGATTACATTGATGGCCATCGATATCCAAAGTAAGTCAGTTTAGTAGGATTACTTTATGATGGCCATCGATATCCAAAGTAAGTCAGTTTAGTAGGATTACTTTATGATGGCCATCGATATCCAACGTAAGTCAGTTTAGTAGGATTACTTTATGATGGCCATCGATATCCAAAGTAAGTCAGTTTAGTAGGATTACTTTATGATGGCCATCGATATCCAACGTAAGTCAGTTTAGTAGGATTACTTTATGATGGCCAGGTGGTTAGGGCGCTCGACTCGCAATCTTTGGGTTCGAATCCCCGTCACACCAAACGTGCTCGCCCTTTCAGCCGTGGGGCGTTATAATGTGACGCCCAATCCCACTATTCGTTGCTAAAAGAGTAGCCCAAAAGTTGGCGGTGGGTGGTGATGACTAGCTGCCTTCCCTCTAGTCTTACACTGTTCAATTATGGACGGCTAGTGCAGATAGTTCTCGTGTAGCTTTGCGCGAAATTCATAACAAACAAACCAACTATACGTTTTTATTTGCCCCCATTTTCCCCCTAAAAGTAGTGAACAATACAGTAGAACTTCTCATTGCTACAACATTATCTGGAGGGATAAAATCCTCTCCAAATCCTCTTTGGGCTGTATTCTCAAGAGAATAGATTTTGTTTGTAGGATTTCACGCACGAGGGCTAGTCAATAGCTAGAACCCATCGTCAACCGTTGGGTTATGTACTCTTGTTAGAATAATAGTAGAATTTGATCGTCACTCTTATAACGCATCCAGAGAGCAGAGCGTGATTTTCTTTTGGAGGTCAAGGGCAGTAAACCATGGATTCCCAGCTCCACAGTTCGGAACGCTAACCACTAGGAAGTGTTTGGCCCGACAAGGATAGAATGTTTTTTTGATTTGCAAACGTAACAACTAATAATTTTTGATCAATCGTTCTCAACAAAACTATATTTACTTGGCACTTTGTCTGTCTGCCGTTTTATGAGGTCCAGTAAAAGTAACAACAAAAATACACACAAATTTGTAATCCAACTTTCTATAACTTGTTTATGTAAAATACGGACATTTAAAAAGTATTGCGTTTAATAGTGTCCAACAACTGTTTAATAAATTCACTAGACTGCTGTACGGTATCGTTAGGGAACACACAACTATTTTATTACAAAAAAAAAAGAATACTATAAACGTAGCTTTTTTTTGTGCTCATTATTTTAATCAGAACATTATTCTAACTAAAGGCCTCATTGAAATACAAACTGGGCTTGTCAAGTTATATATATATAATATTTCTATAAAAACAACATTGAGTTATTTGATAGTGAACGTCCACAGATGTAAAGTGATAAAACGTTTTTGGAAACAAACAAAAAAGTCATAAATATTTTTTCTTTGAAAGGAATTAGAACATCAAAAGAAAGTCCCCAAAGCTGTCCATACTTCTTTCTACAAAGGGATAAATACAAATCGTGAGAAAACAGCGGGGAAACATAATTCATGGCTAATGAGAGTTTAGTGGAGTAAGTTGCTTTTTAGAAAGTTAGCTGTGTTAAGCAGCGGCGGCCATATTTAGTTGTGGGGTAAATTTGGGGCCCCCTTCCCTTCTAATAACTGTTTGTGTAGAAAATTGTTCTCCCACCTTCCTTCCACGGTTCTGCATTTTTTACTTCAGTTGCACCATTGCTGGCAGCCTCAATTTCAATGTCCATGTCTCCACTTTTAGGGGTTAATACTTTTCTTGAAAAAAAATTCTGTGACCTTTGGCAATTTCATTACCATGATCTCAATCTCAATTTGTCGAATACAACAAATATCAAATCATCATAAGATATTTAAAAATTAACTTAAATGGGGCAAAAAGAAAACTCCATAAAAAATTGGTTATGGAGCCAGGAAGATTGGTAGAACAAGAATCGCTAGTTTCTGACATCACAGTCTGGAAACTTTACAGCTCGTTAGCAGACCCCTTAATATTATGACATCACAGTCTTTCTGGAAACTTTACTGTTCGTTAGCAGACCTTTTGATATTAATTTAATTAGGGCTTGGTGCATTGCACAGCCTGCACACCCTATATGGCCACCACTGGTGTTAAGAGAATGTTTTAGCTGGTGTGGGCATTTGGATTTTTAAAAATTGGATATATATATTTTAGACACTGAACATTTTTCAATAAATATCCACCTGCAACCTTACCTCATTAAACCTCAACACTCCAAAAATAAGAATCACTTAACTGGAATCAATATTTCCTTCAAAAAAGTGGTGTTTTGTTTAGTATATGTGTATTAATTATGTTGTTCTTAGAAAAAGAAACAAAAAATATATGACCAACACAAACTTGAATTAAAAAATCAAAAGATTACAAAACTTGTATGACATCTGAGGCAACACCCCCCCATACTATCAAACTTTGACTAAACTTTTACATGCAGCTTATCAAATAGAAAACACAAATCTTAACGAAAGGCTTAGAAACACGGAAAGCAACTTTAGTAAATAAAAAACAAAATAATGGTTGCAAACTAAGATATTTACTCAGAAATAATGGTTGTACTAGCTTAGGAACACTTATTCATATTTGGATGCTTAGTTCACAATAAATGCACATACCATCTACAAATAAAAGTCTAAAAAAATAAGATTTTGATATAGTACTTGTATATAATTAATAGTTTCAATACAATGTACAAAATACGTGTTTGGTTCCAGAACAGTAGAAATATTTTCATTACAACACGAAGAACAACTTCACAGTTAAAATGTACTCGAGTAAAAATATTACAAAATTTAATATTCTTTATAAAATTCACATAGTTAAACATTCGCTAATGCCGACTCAACCTGGATTTATTAATTAGAAAAATACTGCAACAATTTTAGGACTAAAATTCTATCCCTGTTTCCGAGAAAATAAACAGCTCAGCGCTTACATAATGCACGTGCCAGTGTTTTTGTATTTCTTTCAATCATTATTTACGTATGGAAATTAATGGTTTGTACAGTAAGATAGAAACAAACCATAACTATACAAAATACTTAATAATAAAATTTAATATTTGGGTAGCTTTAAAACTGCGTATAGATTATCGTAAAAACGTTTAGCTATGTAGACTTGTTATGCACTGCTGTATTAGTTTCAGAATCTGGATGAATTATAGCATTACCATAATGAATATAAATGAGGTCACTGACTAAAAATAAACCTTGGTCCCTGTAATTAGCAAATGCATCCGTGAACTTATGGTTTATCAACATAACCAAAAATATTGATGAAAGTATCACATCTACACATTGATTGGAATGAGCTATGCAGTATCGAAAATTACTTATCTGTTATTTCAAACAAAATTAAATTGCCATATAAAACTGTTATAAAAAATGTTTTTTTTAAATATGCAACTCCCTTATATAAAAAATATTCTATATTCATGATCTTTTTTTTCTATAATATCTTGGAGATAAAATACCATGATGTGTATTGTTTATACTGAAGGGAAACGACGCTACGTGTTTTCCATCTGTTGTTGATCATGCGCTAAATTTAACTTGCTTCGGTACATTTTTAATAATACTTTCAAGGAATGAGACAATAGCTGAAGCAGGATGACTGGATTCAATCTCTGCAAATATATGGCACTGGTTCTCTGTATCACTGGGCAGTTTCTTGGCTACGAAACCAAAGCATCGTCTGTAAGACATCACGAAACATCAAAAATTATTACACGAGGTAAACAAAATGGTGAGTTTTAATAAAAAAGCATACACACAAAAAGGCAAAGTCTCTGTTAAAAATGTTCTTTTTTTTTCAGTTGTTATCACCTTCTCAAAATTTACTCAGTATCTCTTAATACTTGTTCAGCTAAAATTCAGGGTAAGGACTTTACTTCATTATCTCAAGGTTACATGACAGGCAGTGGTGAAGTATAAACTAGTGCCCCCTCCTTGCTTACTCTTGCTTTTTAGAAACTACCATACAGATTAATAAACTATATTTACTACCTTGGACTTTGAATGAAGGAGTATACGTATCTCACTATACACTAATACTATCATGGGTTTCATGAATACTGTACCATCACATATTTACAGGTTTAGGTGAGGGATATTTTTATCTCATTAAAATTTCAATTATCAAATATTAGGTCATAAATGTTCTCTTCTGTTTCTTATTAGTTACCTAGAAGTGGGAGGCAAATCTCCTGAAACATTCTCCTTTCTCCAACATCGGTTATCTGGATCAAACCCACAGTAACTGATGCTACAAATGGGATAATGACGTCGAAAAAATAGTCTACAAGAAATATAAGAATAAATAATTCAACTAATAATATGTAAATGCCAGGAATATTTTTTTATTATAAAATGTTAGCCGAAGGAATATTTATGTCAGCCAGACACAACATCTTGTAATGAAACAGCATATTAGATAGCTTATGATTTTTCACACTTTCATGCTATATTGATTCTTTTATCAAAAGTGTTTCATGCTTCTGTATTTTAGGTATTTATTATTAATGCTTTGAAATTTTTAAAACTGTATTTTGAGATTAACTTTTATTAATTTTTGGATATAGTCTAATTAATCTATTTCAATATTGAACAAAATGCCTTGTATGCAATTATCTGTGGAAGACAAAACTAAAATAGTGTTCCTTCTACAAAAAATCCTGTTTAAAATTCATAATGATTGATCTAAGAAAACTCAGAGAGAAAACATTTTTAATCTAATGCAATCAAATCTCTTAGTTCTAAAGAGTTAAATCAGTGTTTCTGAACCATTAAAAACCCGGTTTGTAGCATTGTAAGTCTGCAGACACACCGCCGTTCCACTAGGGGGCTTCACAATTAAGCACTGAATAACACTTTTATACATTAATATCATAATAAGAGACAAACATAAGGGAAAAGTTGAGAAAAGTAATACACTGGTGGATCCAGGATTTGGCATAAAGGAGGAACACTCAAAAAATGTCTTTGCTTCAATGGGGAGTTTTATCATTTCTTTTCAGTATACTTATTTTCTTCTAAATAAACCAATTTAAATAAAACTGAATAACATAATTACACATTAATATTATAATCTGAAACCTACTAGTTGATCAAACATGAGGTTAAAGTTCAAATGTTCCATATGAGACATTGATTATCCGATATTTATTATTTTCCATTAACACGTTTTTCTATATATATATATATATATATAATCATATTTTGAATTATTCTTAAATGTATTTGTTTTGTTTTTACAAGATTGAATGTGTTTATTGGTACATAAGCGTCAGAGGTACCATCTTTTATGCAGTTTTGCTCATTCTTTGTTAATGTGTTTCATCAGATGGTGGTAAGATGCTGTACCTAAGGACAATGGATATGGAGACCTTAACTGGTCCTCAAGCAGTCCAGAAAGCTGTTTCAGAGCTGTTATTAGAAAACGATTCAATAGCCTCAACTGCTGTTCATTTCAGAGCCACTGATAAAGGAATTACCATAACAGACATAAGTCACAAGTAAATATTTTAAATCATTGAAATATTCTGTAATCAAAGAAGGAAACAAATAAATCTATTTACTGAAAATTTACATGTAGTAAAGCTGTTATACAGGGAATGTGTTGATGGGCCACTCATTTTTTATTTACTTTTTATTTCTCTTTGTTTAAGCTTAACAGACAAGTTCAATCACATCATTTTTATTGTACTTTACCCTGTTTTAAAATAAATACAATCCTCAGTTAATTTTGTGATTGAAGAATCAAAAATATGTCATCACATTATAAAATAATAATCCTTGCAAGAAAGAGATTTGAATCAGCTAGCTTCTGGTAAAATGTTCATGATTAGGTCTTTACAGTCTTACTTCTAATGAATTTTTTCATAAGTAACTCCCTCATGATCACCTTATTTATAATTAACAAAATGATCCGTTAACCAAACCTACAGTATTTTGATTCTATTTAGTGATCTAAAACAAAACAATAATATTCTCTCTCACAATTAAATACCAAAAAATATGAATTAACATCATGTTTATATAATCACCAGCATAATGGCTAAATAAATATCTTATTTATCAATAATGTTGAAAGATTTGTTTTATAATAGTACAGTTTCTAGACTTTTCCCTCAAAATGTTTCTCTGTAGCCTTTTCAGTAAACAAATACAAGTTATATACATAAATGGTACTTCAGTGCTCTGTTATGTTCCTGGTGGGTCAGCAGTAAGCTTACGGACCTGCAGTGCTAAAAATTGGGGTTTGATTCCCCTTGGTGGACAAAGTGCAGATAGCCCATTGTATAGATGTGCATTAAGAAAACAGCAATACAACAATTGTTGTGTTATTTTACACATTAAGTGTCTTACCCACTTTCCTTTCTTGACTTGATGCACAAGTGGAACCAGTTTTACAGATTGACTCTGAAAAAAGAAACAAAAACAATATGACCAAATTTCTCTGTATTAATGATATTTCCATAAAACACAAAAACAAGACAGAGCAAAACCTTCTTTACTAACAACAAAATTTATATAAGTCACTGTATTGTTTGATTTTTGAATTTCGCGCAAAGCTACATGAGGGCTATCTGCACTAGTCATCCCTAATTT